CTGGATACATGAGGTACAGTGGAGGGGAGGGCTTTGTGGAAAGTGTTTGGCACAGATGTTAAAACCATATGTAATGTTATAGGATGGGGACTGGGTCCCCTGGCCTCTGAGTTTTCTGCATCTTCCACCAGAATATCCAAGCTATCTCATAACTCCAGTGGCCGTGACGTCTTGGTGTTTAAAATGACACCCAACTGAATTTTTCATCTTAGCTGTGAATTCCATTTTATGTGAACCTACATTTACATCTTACACCGGAAATTACTGGATTTTTGGAGGGAGGGGTCCTTGTGTTCAGCAGTTACGTTAATGAGTTGCCTATGTACCTGTGAGAGCCCCGGGTGTCTTCCCGTTTCGTCCCGCTGATCCATCAGAGGTCTTAGGCACTTTGACACCCGGACACCAGTCCTACTTGAAACCAGGGACTGCAGCAGAAGCGGAGGAGGTGGGTTGAGGACAATGGACTGGTGTCCGCTAAGGGCCTGCTATTCACTAGGCATCATGCTTCTGCACTAGGCATCATGCTTCTGCACTAGGCATCATGCTTCTGCACTATCCAGGTTAATCGTCAGCAATTTGGATACAGTCTGCCCCTTTATTAGAAGCAGCAGCTGACTGAGAGAAACTACTTAATACACGAAGGAATCATAAAGTAGCAGAGCTGAGGGGCACGTGTCTGTCCGCACGATGGCCTGTGTGACGCTTCTCCTTCTCTACCTGTTTTCTTCCCCTGGTGCGTCTAGGCCCCAAGCCCTCCTACCTGCTTCGATGCTGCTGAGGAATCTCTCAGCACGTCGCCCAGGACACTTGATCCGCAGCATGGGACTCTGCGGGCGAGCCTCGGTCATGACTCACACCCGAGGTCTGGCCCTGCCTCTCCAGTCCTGGGTGCCCACCCAACCACCCCTGGCCTTCCTTGAATTCTGGGGATGCTACGTCTGGCCTGCCATGAGAGTGCTTGGCCTACCTAGCTTGAGCTCCAATGTTCTTCTGCTAAGAGCTCGAGTGTGTGTGTGTGTGTGCGCACGCGTGCGCGCAAAAGAGAAATAGGTGGAAGGGTAAACATCACGTAGAGACAGACGCTTTGCAGGCGAACGTCCCTGTGACCTGGAACGTGGCTTCCGTGGGCCTCCCGGGTATCCGCGTGAACCTTGGGCTCTGACACACACGCCGCGAGGCACACGTGTCGAATGTTCTGGCTTCCTGCCCAGGTCTTCTGGTTGTTCTCATGAGCCAGGCTGGGCCAGCACTGCCTTTGAGGCTGGGCAAGGCTCAACCTGCAGGGAGAAGGTGAGTCTGGTGGTGGGAGGGGTTGGGGAGGACAGCACCTGGCCTAATGCGCAGGCCTCCAAACACGTCCCCAACCTGGACTCCTCCCAGCCTTCCCTCTTCACCTGCAGCTCAAACCTCAGCAAGACAGGGTAACCGAGAGCGCGTGCATTCTGATAATTTTTCAGTTTTGCTCCAGTTATTGGGATTGTTTATCAAGGGATGCGTCCAGGTCAAGTTTAAGAAGGATCTGGCCTTGCTTTTTAGACATCGATGCATACAGGAGCATCTTGAATTGCTACAGGCATTCTCCAGCCATTAGCGCTAACAGATGCCGTGTAATAACTCTCGAAACTCTTGCTGGGGGAGTGCTCCTTTGAATGATCTCATTCATGACGATGAAGGCCATAAATTCTGAGGAATGCGAGACAATCAAATTCCTGACCTGTCTGTGACTATGGGAACTAGCTGCTGTGTTCAGGTAGGACCTGAAGTTCAAAGAAAGTCAGGCCTGCAGCTTTTGGGCTTTTATTTTTTTATTTTATTTGCAAGACTTAAAGCGCAGCCAAGCCCCTGTACTTAGTGAGGTTCAAAATGAGGTCCAAATAATCACTTCCATCTCAGGCTGCCTGCGTTCCTGGTGGTATACTGTTTGTTCCAGTCTGGGTCACTATCAGAAACAGAATTGTCATAAAGATGGAGGGGAGGTCTCTGGTTCTTAGGGCCCAGAGAAGGCCATAGGGATGTGAAGGGATTCCAAAAGGGATCGTGATGGGAGTCAATTTTCCAGAAAGATAAAGAGACTGATGAATGAAGGAGACACAGAGAGATAAAAAACCCTGATTTATGCAGTGTCTCCAGCCATCCTACACTCATGCATGAACTTCCAATCTCCCTGGAGCTGCCTGCGTCTGGCACAAATGCTGAATGTCAAGGGCAAGCTTGTGTTTTCACCTGTTTGTCCTCCTCTAATCTTCAGATCAATTCCTCATTGCTTTATATTCAGGAACCATGGGGAAAAGTATGTTCTCGCCCTGTGGTTCAAAAATCCTTAAGACTTAACCTATGCCATTTATGCATAATAGTAAATTTTATAAGCAATTATTTGGAAAAGCAATATTCTGTGTCAACACAAAAGGATGGAAAATAAGTTAATTTCCTTAAATAATAAATGAAAACTGCCTCAGGGCATCCATCGACCTTTCCTTTCTTCTCGGGCCATGTTAGATTCGGATAACACTGGCAAATTACCTGAAGGCCCTAAGTGAAATGAACAGATCTTTAACTCTATTTTTGCAAAACCTGCTGCAGTTTTTAGGCACTATACTCTGAAACCCTAGGATCAGATACTAATAATTTATGATGAAACTATCCAATCTTCTTAGATATTTTTAAAATTTATTTGGCTGGGTCTTAGTTGCTGCATGCGGGATCTTTAGTTGCAACCTGCGAGATCTAGTTCCCTGACTAGGGACTGAGCCCAGACACCCTGCATTGGGAGTGCAGAGTCGTAGCCACTGGACCACTGGGGAAGTCCCTATCCCGAGTTCTGATGGCATTCTCTAAAGGTTTACATTTCCACTCAAACAAAGCTCACTCTGAATGGCGAGGAGAAACTTAGGTTCAAATTCACTCCAGTTGAGTCATCTCACACAATCCCGCTATTGAAGCGAGCAAGAGAGCTAAGTTGCTAAGTTGTGTCCAACTCTTTGTGACCCCATGGACTGTAGCCCACCAGGCTTCTCTGTCCATGGAATTCTCCCGGCAAGAATACTGGAGTGAGTTGCCATTTCCTCCTCCAGGAGATCTTCTTGACCCAGGGATTGAACCTGCATCTCTTACATCTCCTGCGTTGGCGGGTGGGTTTTGTTTTTTTTTACCACTGAGCCACCAGGAAAGCCTCTTCTTACAGATGCAAAACCAAGGCTCAGAAGGATTTCCTTTCTGAAAGTAGCCAGTGTAGTGACCAGTTGGTGCAGACCTCTGCCACTGATACTTAGGGGTAACTACATGAAAAGATGGTTTGGGTGGTAAGCACCTGGGAAGTTACATATTTACCCTCTGCTTTTCATTATAATTTTGAGTTTATTATATTTTTGGATGGTATCTAGTCACTCCAAATATACCCAAAGAAGATATTCTGTCAATGATTTGTTATAGTAACTCCACCTTATTTATCTGGGTAGGTTTAGGTCACCTGAATGTCTAATCTGGGCTTTTCCCAGGTGGCGCTAGTGTTAAAGAACTTGCCTGCCAATGCAGGAGATGCAAGAGACGCGAGTTTGATCGCTGGGTCAGGAAGTGCCCCTGGAGGAGGGCATGGCAGCCCACTCCAGTGTTCTTGCCTGGAGAATCCCATGGACAGAGGAGCCTGGCCGTCTACTGTCCACGGGGTCAAAAGGAGTTGGACACGACTGAGTGACTGAGCAGCATAGTACGCACAAATACGTAATCATATTTCACTCTTCTTTGCTAATTCTCATTGTTGTTCAAAACAGAATGTTGAGAATTGAAGCCATTTTTCAATAACAATACAAACCAAAGAAAGTACTGTAGTATTTTATCTGTGCACTGTTTGTTCAAATCGTCTGGGTAGTATAGGCTCTCTGGATCAAAAGATCAGGTCCTAGTATGAATTCTGGTCCTGACCACCTGAGGTTGATGCCTCTGTGCACTGGTACTGAATCAAATCTTGGAGACAGTTTTGGGTGAAGAAGAATAGCTTTATTGCTTTGCCCACAATTGGCTTTTTTTCTTTTTTTTTTTTATGAAAACTTTACTGTTTCCATTTGATCCAAGGCTTGGGAAAAGCCTCCAGGGTGTTAAAAAGCTGCCTAGTAGCTTTATTTTCTTGGGCTCCAAAATCACTGTGGACAGTGAATGCAGCCATGAAATTACAAGATGCTTGCTCCTTGGAAGAAAAGCTATGACAAACCTAGACAGCATATTTAAAAAGCGGAGACATCATCTTGCTGACAAAGGTCCATATAGTCAAAGGTATGATTTTCCCAGTAGTCATGTAAGGATGTAAAGTTTGGACTTCATGCTGACAATTGACGTTTTCAAACTATGATGCTGGAGAAGATTCTTGAGAGTACCTTTAACAGCAAGGAGATCAAATCTGTCAATTGTAAAGGAAATCAGCCCTGAATATTCTTTGGAAGGACAGATGCTGAAGCTCCAAATCTTTGGCCACCTGATGCAAAGAGCCAGCTCATTGGAAAAGACCCGGATGATGGAAAAGATTGCAGACAGGAGGAGAAGGGGGGACAGAGGATGAGATGGTTACATGGCATCACTGACTAACGGACGTGAGTTTGAGTAAACTCGGGGAGATAGTGGACAGGGAAGTCTGGGGTGCTGCTGTCCATGGGGTCGCCAAGAGTCAGACACGACTGAGTGAACAACAGTGGCTGCAGAGAGAGGCTTCGCTTAGAAGCCCTGAGATTGGAGGTGGGGGTGGGGGTCACTCCTCAAAGGCTGCTGGCCTCCTGTAGGTGAGAAATTTACACTGCCCAGCCTGGGGACCAGTCGGCCTGTGGAGGTTGGTCAGGTGGTCTCCTGTCCTCCTGATGACTTTCACCACCTCGCTGAGGAAGTAGACCTCCAGGAAGTGACAGAAGTGGGGGCCTGCACAGGCAGAAAACAGGCCATGCAGATCATAAAGGACCTGCTTCAGGTTCTTCGCTATGAGCAGGGTGGCCTCGAGCGTCCTGGGCTGTGTCCTACTCATGTGGGAAAGCTTCTCCACTTCTAGGAAGGGGGCATGGCCGCTGCTCTACTTTTGCATTTGGGAGAGGGTATTGGTGCCCTCGAGCTTCTCCAGGGCCAACTTGCAGAAAACTTCACCCAAGTCGTCCAGAGGCACAACTCTGCGGTTGAAAGCGGAGCCCAGAGACAGGGAGGTGCGGCAGGCCTGCAGATGCAGGTCCACAAGGTGCTGGATGACGGCCTCCACCTCGGGGGAAATCCAGATGAATCTGGAAACTCACGGCTGATCAGTAACAAGGAGTGAAGCTCAACAACTGGAGTTGGCTGTTTCTGGTGTTGGAGGACAGCTAAGGGGCTGACTCTGAAGGCTGAGGCTGGAAAGAAGGTCCCAGGGTGGTCGGAGGCTGGAGGAAGGGGTGTCCCTGGGTCTGGTCTGTCCAAGCACTGTCGAAGCAAGAGAGAGATCCGCGGGAATGCCGAGTGCAAGGGGGCCCTGGGCGAGCGCCTGCCCTCCAAAGCCATATGTCCCAACCCGGGAAGCCTTGGTGAGTTTTTTACAGCAATGGTTCGAAGGCGGGGTTCCTGATGAGATTCGGGTGTGCCGAGGGGCTTCCCTTGTAGCTCAGTTGGTGAAGAATCTCCCTGTAATGCAGGAGATCTGGGTTCGATTCCTGGATTGGGAGAAGGAAATGGCAACCAACTCCAGTACTCTTGCCTGGAGAATCCCATGGATGGAGGAGCCTGGCGGGCTATAGTCCACGGGGTCGCAGGGGTTGGACCTGACTTAGCGACTAAACCACCGCCACAGGGCCTAAACTCCTTTAATCTGGCCTCAGGGGGTCTTCTCTGAATGGAATGCTGAGAAATTCCATTTGCTGGGAGTTTTAGTGTTACAAAGACTTAAAGATATTGTTATGTGTATCCCCTAGTGGTTCAGCCACACGGTTGTGCCTCACTCTCTAGGACCCCATGGACTGCAGCACGCCAGGCTCCCCTGTCCTTCACTAATTCCCAGAGTTTGCTCAAACTCATGTCCATCGAGTCGGTGATGCCATGCAACCATCTCATCCTCTGCCGTCCCCTTCTCCTCCCCCTGCCCTCCGTCTTTCCCAGCATCTTGGTCCTGAGGCAGAGGCAGGGCCAGTCTGTTTCTTGACTGCTCCTCCTTGGTCTCTGCACTCTCCTCCCTTCCCTGATTAGCCTGACAGTTCAAGTCTGCCCTTTGGGACTCAGGGAAGGCCATGGAGCCTGGAGCATTTTGCCTACAAGAATCTGGGGGACAGGACTTCTCTGGTGGCTCAGTGGTTAAGAATCTGCCTTCCAATGCAGGGGATGTGGGTCTGATCCTGGGTTGGGGAGCTGAGATCCCACCTGCTAGGGGGCAACCAAGCCCGAGCCACAACTAGTAAGCCCCCGCTTGTCTCAATGAAGAGTCCACGCACTCAGTGAAGCCCCAGTGCAGCCACAAATTACAGGATTAAATAAAATTTAAAAAAGAAAGGCTTCCTTGCCCAGGAGCCCCACAGGATCCTTGTTTCAAGGTCACTATACATTTTGCTAATCCTGCTGGAAGCACACGTGAGACTCACCCTGAGTATCGTGATCCGGGCTTCCCAGGTGGCGCTCGTGGTAAAGAACCCGTTTGCCAGTGCAGGAGACGCAAGAGACGTGGGTTCGATCCCTGAGTTGGGAAGATCCCCTGGAGGAGGACATGGCAGCCCCCTGCAGTATTCTTGCCTGGAGAATCCCAGGGACAGAGGAGCCTGGCGGGCTACAGTCCATGGGGTCACACAGAGTCAGACATGCCTGAAGCAACTTAGCACGCATTGTGATGAAGGGCAGGTAGGCGATACGTAAGAAAGGACTTGAGGAGAGAGCCGGGCTCTTTCTAAACATCCGTGTCCATCATGCAGCTCGCTGAGCAGCCACCTCTTCTGTGCCGTCAGCCTGCCCCCTCCTCCATCAACGTGTCCTTCATGCCTCCTGACTGCTGATCGCCCCGGCGGTCTCATGAACCGGATGCGTGTGCCAGCCAGCCCTTCCGTGCCCGCTGCATTCAGCATCTGGACTTCTGGTAGTGTGCCAATCTTAATGAAGTTGTCTTGTTGTTTTCTGAGTACCTTTGGACACCTAAGGGCAGAATGACTGAGCTGGGGTGTATGATAATGATAAAATGTGGCACAGGGCTGGGTCGGTTGTAGCTTGAGTTGAGTTTGACATGACCTGATGAGATTTCTTGACGTATAATCTGCTCCTTTGGCTCCTTTTAGAAAAGAGCCTTTGGCATAGACTACCCAGAATTGCATGTCTAGGAGACAACATTAATTTGTATGGCATGACTCACGCTGAATAAGAACAAGTTTGTAGTCAAGAACCGTGCATCCCCAGTTAATGAATCGCCCTGTGACTGTTGGGGTGGATTATCGTTAGTCACACACATTTTTCTGTCCCCAGGATGAAGGCAGGTGTGCCTCTTTAGTTCGCTGTATGGTTTTTCATGCCTGAATCAGCCTACTCTGCCTCTGCTGTTTTCACACCCTCTTCATTAAGCTCTGTCTAAATACTTAACTGTCCTAGTGTGTTATTATCAAGCGAGACTCTCCACAAATATTTCGAAACTGATTTAGTTAGTGCCTTGGCATTTCTTGGCTTGCAAAGAAGCTAATCCAATTCCCCTTAGTTTACAAATGTGGAAGGAGAGACGCTGGGAAACTAAAGAAAGTTGCCCCAAATCAGAGCTTCTGGTGTCTGCTGAGACCGATCCTCTTAGTGAGGGAAGCTTGGGGCATTGAGGAATGAAAGGAAGGAACAGATTTATGTTTCTTATCTACATATGAAAGTGAAAGGGTTAGTTACTCAGCCCTGTCTGACTCTTTGCCACCCCTTGGACTGTAGCCTGTCAGGCTCCTCTGTCCATAGGATTTCCCAGGCAAGAATATTAGAGTGGGTTGCCATTCCCTTCTTCAGGGGATCTTCTCAACCCAGGGATCTAACCTGGGTCTCCTGCATTGTAGGAAGATTCTTTACCATCTGAACCACAAGAGAAGCCCTATCTATGTATATTGTATATAATAGACTTACATTTACAAGAAGAAAAGTTCAAATTCTTGAGGAAACCCATTTTTTAAAAAATTTTGCTGAATAATTAATGTATGCATAAATGGAAACCTTACTAAATATTATTCAAATATGTCCAAAATGATTTAAAAACAGAACTCAAAATTTTAGAATTTGTTTAGAGCTTCCCTTATATTTTCTTTTTAAAAATAATTGTGCTTAGTCGCTCAGTCGTGTCCAACTCTTTGCGACCCCATGGACTGTAGCCCGCCAGGCTCCTCTCTCCCTGGGGATTCTCCAGGCAAGAACACTGCAGTGCGTTGCCAGGCCCTCCTCCAGGGGATCTTCCCGACCCAGGAACTAAACCCAGGTCTCTCCCATTGCAGGCAGATACTTTACTGTCTGGCCACCAGGAAAGCCCAAGGATACTGGAGTGGATAGCCTATCCCTCCTCCAGGGGATCTTCCTGCCCCAGGAATAAAACCAGAGGCTGCTGCATTGCAGACAGATCCTTTACTATGTTAAAATTACTTAAAGAGATTTAAGGTCACCTTTGAAAGTGAAAATGTTATTCACTGAGTTGTGTTCAATTCTTTCCAAGCCCACCAGGCCCCTCTGTCCATGGAATTCTCCAGGCAAGGATACCAGAGTGGGTTGCCATGCCCTTCTCGACCCAGGGGTTAAACCCAGGTCTTCTGCATTGCACGCAGATTCCTTACCATCTCAGTCACTTGGGAAGCCCCAAGGTCATCTTTACTAATAAAAACAATTTATCATTGTGCCATTTTGAACAGGTAATTCTGCCTTACAGACATTAATAAAAGTATTTTATAAAATAGACAGCTGAAGCAAAAGGAAGAATCAATCATAGAGTTTATCAGGAGAAAAGTAGCAGGTTTGAATTATTTCATTTTTAATATATGTTCAGATATTTATCCCTATAAAAAGATATTTTTGGTACCAATGATTCTGAGCTGTAGTTTGGGTTGCTGATGGTGTCTCCAATTATTTCAAAGAAAAGGCATTGTCGAAATAATTTATTAAATGAAATTCAGTGCAATTCTCCATTACCCCCCAAATGAACACTTATTACATGACCCTCCGAGCTGATGGAGAGGACCACTGGCAGTTACATTTCCTTCAAACCAGTGGAACCCAGAAGGGTTCCCAGTTCCAAACAATTTAGGAGTTGTTTTGTATTATATATTAAAAAAATGTTTTAAAAAAAAGTTTTGAAAACACCTGATTGATGCCCAAAACATCAATCAAATGGCCAAGTGATCAACTTTCAAGCAATCCACATGAGTCTTATGTTAAATCAATAATGGTGACAGCATGTGGAGGCTTGAATTTTGTCCTCCAAGCGATATGCTGATGATCCAACCCACAGGACCTGTGCGTAAGACCTTATTTGGAAATAGGTCTTCGCAGATATAATCAAGTTCAGATTAGGAATTAGGGCAGCCCCTAATCCAACAATATCTGGTACTAGAAGAGAAGAGATACAGACACAGAGAGAGGTCACCCTGCAATGATGGAAGCAGAGACTGGAGGGATGGAGTGGCAACTCAAGGAAGGCCAAGGACGGATGCTAAGAAAAGGCAGAGGGAGCTTCCACCCAGGGTCTCAGAGGGATCACGGTGCTTCTGACATCTTGATTTTGGATGTCTGTCCTCCAGAACTGTAGGAGAATGTATTTCTGTTGTTTTAAGCCAGTTCGGGGCATTTGTTACAGCAGCCCTGCGTGCATATGTGCTTAGTCATCAGCCATGTGGGACTCTTTGTAACCCCATGGACTGTAGCATGCCAGGCTGCTGTTTCTATAGGATTTCCCAGGCAAGAATATGGGAGGGGGTTGCTGTTTCCTCCTCCTGGGGATCTTCCTGACCCAGGGATATCCTCTGCATCTTTTAGGTCTCCTGCATTGGCAGGTGGGTTCTTTACCTGCTGAGATATCTTGGTAGCCCTTTCAGAATGCATAGAAAAATATTATTCAAATTTTTAACACCAGCAATATAATTGAGGATTCATTTGCAGTTATTCTATCAACAGAACTGTTAATGCCATATTCAATTTATTAAACCTTTCTCTCTTGGGGACTGTTGGCTTATATCTCTAGGCTCCAGATGAATTTTAAATTTCAACACTTCAAAATTTCAGGTGTGAAATTTCTGCCATTTGACACAACACTCCCAAAGTGGGTCCTCTGTCTCTACTCAGTGTTTTATGC